CGTGTCCCGGAAGGCCGCGCGCAGGCCCCGCGCCGCCACCGCCGGGCCATGGCCGGGCTGTCCCGCACGCTCGGCATCTTCGGCGCCTTCGTGGCCGTGGTGGGAGCCGCCTTTTACCCCATTTATTTCCGGCCGCTGCTGCTGCCGGAGGAGTACAGTGAGTCCCTGCGCGGGGGGAGCCGGCTGGACTCGCCTGTGTCGCGGTCTGTGCCCGGGCTTGGGGGAAGGCTGGGGCTGCTGCTCGCTGAGTAACTCCCGAGCGGCTCCTCTAGGAGATACCTGAAAACCGAAATAATACAGCTCGCCGTACTCTTATTTCAAGTTATTGGCCAGCACGTGATTAAGAACATCCTTCAGCTGCTCCTTAGAGGACTGAGATGCAGTTGAAGAGATTGAGATCAGGGAGATTGAGATCAGAGAGATGGAGCACCTCTCCTATGCGGAAAGGCTGAGACAGTTGGGGTTCTTCAGCCTGGAGAAGAAAGGGCTTTGGGAAAACCTTGCAGAACACTTGAAGAGAGCTTGTAAGAAATCTGGGGCAGACTTCTTAGTAGGGCCTGTTGCAATAGGACTAGAGGTAATAGTTTTAAGCTAGACAGAGTAAATTCAGAGTAGATAGAAGAAATACATTTTTTTATGATGGTGGTGGTGAGCCACTAGAACAGATTACCCAGAGGAGTGGTGGGTGTCCCATCCCTGGAAACATTCAAGATCAGGTTCGACAGGACTGATCAACTTAATCTAGCTGAAGATGTCCCTGCTCAGTATAGGAGAGGTGGGCTAGATGATCCTTAAAGGTCCCTTCCAGCCCAGAATATTCACTTACGCAGTTCAAGTTCAATCATGAGCAGTTCAAGTCCTGTTTTCCAGCTTGCAGCTGAACATCTAACTTAAAACTTGGCAACCAGTTGTGTTGATTTGCTAGAGCTGGTCCCAGTCTGCATTGTCTCTGAAGCTGACTCCTGAGGAAAACCCTGCTTTCCTTCCAGAAATACCTGCCAGAAAACCTGCAAAAGCCTACAAGTGACTCTGTCCAGGAAGCCCTCGAAGGCACCTGCAGCTCCAGGTGTGAAGCCTCAGCAGCTCCAGGTGGGTGCTCCGTAGGGGGAGCACCCATAACTCCTCAACTTCTGGGAAATACTGCTGAGGCAAAGTTCTGCTGCAACCAGCTTTGACCCCTCTAATTTTTATGAAACGAAGCAAGCTGATAACATGAAGATATATGTGGTTAATCTGCCAAGAGAAGTGAAGATTTCTAGGAAGGAAAAAGAAAAAAGGATAACAAACTTAGTGATCTTATTGGAGGGGCTTTGGCCTTGCATTAGAGCCCAAGTAAAATTTAACTTACAAGCAAGGTTTTATTCAAGGATGTGAAACTTCTCACAATTATGTTTCCTACTCTGTGTTCCCTTTGAAAACTTTATTACTAAATCTTTTATGTTTATGCTATACTTTCCAAAAATGCTGTGTTAGAATTTTGGCTTGGCAGTAGTGGAGCATGTCCTCCTTTGTACATGTGAATTATGTGAGTATATGTTTCCTATCAGTTGAGGGATTTTTAATCTCTATTTAGGATATAAAATGATTGATGCACACTTAGCAAGTGCACAAACTTGTGCTTTGATACCTGATTCTAAGTTTTACTCATTACCTGCAGCTGAATCTCCATCTGATATCACCTTTATTCATTTCCAGTGAGCTTTTCTTGATGTTCATCGCTGCAGTATGAGAGGGACAAGCATTTGTTATCACAATATTTGAGGCAAGGTTGTGGACTTGTACAGTTGTGGTTTTTGAACCAAAGTATTAAACTTTTGGGGTACAAAGGATTTTCTGATTACAGTCAAGTGAGCTGTATGACAACTTGCAAAAGGCAAGAATGAATTTTAGTTACCTGGATTGACATTGAACTATGAAATGCAATCTGAATCATGAAATGCAATCTTTTCTTCCTTCACTCTTGTTTTTCCTGTGTATCTCCCAAATTCTACACAAGTGAAGTAGATCAGGAAGAAGAATTTACTGCACAATTCTCAAACATCTTCAGAGGAATTCCTAGCAATTTAACAAATAAGTTGAAAGCTACTTGGAAAAACTGTATATAATCAAATTGTTGATATGAACTGTAAATAGTGCACAGAGGAGTTAGACTTAATTTCATACAGAAATGATGTAATATCATAGGTTTTTAATACTTGTTTGTGCCTTTGCCGTTTCTAATATTTTCTTGCCTATATCTAGCTGTAAAAAAGACTCTTTCCTCATATGAAACACACAGTTTAGTGGCAATGATGAAACTGTGAGGCCCTCAGCACAGACTTTCCACATGGATTAACTAAAACAGTGGCTTGACAGTTGGTCTTTGTGACATTTTCACAGATTTCCTGGTTTTCTGAATAGTGAGACTGTTCCTTACCCATCCTGTGATGTGGCTCTCCTGTCACCAAGACTGAATCTTCCTTGTTGTCCTCTCTTTGTCTAACCTGTCTTCCTGTTGATTGCAGGCCCCACAGCAGCCTCCCTATGGACTGTTCTGTGTCCTATCTGTGTTTATCACCTCTTTCATTTTTGCACTGGCTTCTTTGCCTGACCATTTAACAGCTCCTGCTGCTAACAGCACAACCCAAGTGTGTCCCCAGAACTCTCAGATTAGTTCTTGTATTTGTCCCTGCCTCTCTTCTAATCTAAGTTTCCACTCAAGGCTGAATATCCTTCTCTGTCTCGTTAAGGACTTTTGGGTTAGGTTCTTTTTCTCTTTGAACTGAAGATTGAAGAGAGGGAGGCAATTGGTCTTGGTTGTTTATTCTTTTCTTATCAGCATTATAAGCAACAAGGAACCATGTGCACTATGATAGAAAGGTGTAAAATGGCTAACAAAGATCCTTTTCAAGGTCTTTTATATGTCCATTTACTCAATTAACAGATGCCAACTGAATTATTTTTCTTAGTGACTCAATGACCTAACACCTGTGTACTGCATTTTGGCATTCTTTATCTAATCACTTACTACTACCCAAAAACCCCTACGAGAAGAATATGAAGAAGAAAGAAGAAAGACAAGAGACAGCACCCTAAATCCTCCATCTTGTCTTTTTCTCTCTAAACTACTTTTTCACCCAGTGATTTAAGAAACTTTCTAATCTACACACGTACATTTTCAGTTTTTTCTATCTGACTTAAACATTTGTTCTCATGTATCACCATGAAAACATGCTCATGAATTTTATGTTATATGAAATTCAGTGTTTCTTTGGATTCTAGAACTAAGTATTAGAAACAAGGGCACACACTCTGTATCTCAGACTCCAACACTTCTCCTTTGTGTCCTACAGGAAGTCTTCTTGCCCAAATCTGTTCTGTTCTCCCTTTTTGGGTTTTGTGCCTTTTCCTTTGATTCCTGAGATTTTGTCTGCTGAAATGGAAGAAACGGAATTACCATGCTCAGTGAACAGTGGAGAACCTGGATGTGCCTCTAGTGCCTGTCCCCTTGCAAGGAGAATCAATTATTGTGATATTTCTGCTAGTCTCCTGTAGCATTAGGCTTGTACCTAGACAGCCTGATAGCATGTAGTGCCAGTGCATTCCCAGTGGGATAGGATAATGAAGAATTTCAGTTTCAAGCTGAGCTTAGTTGTGAGCTTCCTTTGCAATTGTGCACCCTGCAGGTTTTTAAAGGCCTCAAAAGTTCAAAGTGCAAAAGGTTAATCCACCTGAGCTTTGACTTCCTGCTTCATACTACCACTGTGATGGTAAAGTGCGTAACTGGAAGTGGAAGAAAAGGAGGGGCATTTAGTAAGGGAAAATAGTGTAGTTTTTTCCATTTCTCTTTGTGGAAGTGGTTGAATCTCTCAAAGGAAAAACAAAAGCCTGAGACAGGCCCAGTGTATGGGAAAATATCCCTCAGATGCTGTATTTCACAAAGTTTACAAGTAGCAATTTTGTAGGCGCTGTCACGAAATATGGTTGCAAGGTCTTTCAGGGCCTGAAAATGGGAATTGCCCAAAAGAAGAAAATCTTTTGACTAGTTTTATGATGAGCATGTGTATGACAGCTTCTAAAAGTACTAGTCATTCCTTAAGTGCTGGGACCGTGGCAGGTGTTTTGGCACCTTTATCAAACAGTAGGCAGTGTTTTAAGATGACTATCTTACTGTTTGTAGTCTCCCAAAACAGGCCGATTTCTCAGTGGAGTAGGAATACTACATTCACATTCAGTAGGTAGATATTCAACAGAATTTTACCGTGTAGCATCTAGAATTAATAAAATTTTCAAGATTATTTTACTGAGTGCAATCAAGACATCTGGTATTTTCTTTTTTTCAGTAGTGTCCTTTCTGTTCTGTTTTCCAGAGAAAGAACAGTCAATAAACCGAGCTGGTATTGTTCAAGAGGATATTCAGCCTGCAGGTACACTTGATTTATGTGTTTTGCATTGATTGTTTTAAGGACCCTCTTGAAGTAAGACCTCAATATTTATATGGATTTAAATAATACAGTTAAGAATCCATTTAATGAAAACATATTTAATAAACTTGCCATTAAATTATTTTTTTCAGGCTAATTGCTCACTGAAAAATTAAGGTTTTAATGCAGCTCTTCTTAAAATGACTTAAATGGCCAAAGAAGTTGCAGAGTTTCTGTTGTCTTCACATTTTCTTAAACAGAGTCCAGTTTCCACTTCCGAACCAGCTCAGAGCAAACAAGAACCATGGATAGGCTGAGCTGTAGCTATAAAGAACAAAGTTGCACCCCAGTTTTGTGGAATACTGAACTCTGCTGAAACACAGCTCATCAGCACTTTGGCAGGGCCTTCTGGCCTCATGGATGGATGGGCCATGCAGAAATCCACTACACATGAAGGAAAATTTGGAATGCACTGCTGATAGCTTTTGGATTCTTGCTGTTGACAGTGGAAAGCTTAGAGAAGCATATAAGGGAAGTAAAATTCAAGTATAGCAGGCTACCCTTGATAGTTCATTTTTTCATAATGCTAAATGGAGTGGCTGTTCATCACGCAAGGCTGGCATTTCTTGATTAAAGATGTGAGAATGTCTGTCTTGATGAAACATGTAATATCTGAATATGTTAAATGGCAATGTATTTTTGTTTTTGAAAAAGCCTAGCATCAGCAGCAGGTGAAAATCAAGTAGGATTAAAGCTGATTAAATGCATTGGTTAGACTATTAATGCAGGACTTGCTTTCCAGGGAAATGGGTGAAATGCTGAAGAGAAGTAGAAATGTGAAGTAGAGGTCATGTAAACCTGTCTTTTTTACTAAATATTCAAGAGGACTGAACTGGCTCATTTATCTGAGATGCAGGTACTTCTGCATTCTGAGATGCAGTTCTTCTTAGTGTAAGTTCTTTTCATCTGAGTTTAGCTGCTGGTAAGTTACAAGATCCATTAGTTGAAAAGGAAACTAAGAGAAATTTAAGTGCAAGGTGCAGTTCTAAATGATTAATCCAATAATATTAGAATACCTTACCTAGGTGAGTAACTAAGAATGTGATAGATGTTATCATTATCTGAAGTTTAAGATCAAGATGAGGTTGTCTTTCTGTATATTTTTTCAAGTTTAAGCAGAGTTGCAAATTCAGTGCAGAAAAGCTGGAATAGCAGATCTGTTGTGTTTTTTTTTTCTCCAACAGTCTAAATTTTCAACTGCTGGTTTTCTGATATTTGATTTGTAGGGTTAAAAGTGTGGTCGAATCCATTTGGAAGAAAGTAATTGGTGGCTGAGTGTATTGCAAAACTGAAGATGGACGCCTTCAGCTGCTGCTTCTTTCACTGAAGTGTGTATGTGGGTGTCACTGGAAGAGAATTCTGAATATGCTGTGTGATCACACAAGGAGCAACAAAGGCTACTGGTTGGAATTCCAAGAGATAAAACCAGGCTAGTTTTGAGAGAGAATGCTGACGCATAGCTCACAGACTGTTAGAAAGCTGAATGATTATTGAGTATAGTAATGAAATACTTATTTCCTTGAGAAAAGGAAAAAGGATTTGCTTCTAATCTGTAGACACTTGTTGAGTAAATTATGGATAGAATAAATCGTGCAGACTGCTGCAATTTCCTCCCTAGTTTGAAAGTTACAGCATGGTGAGTGTAAATTTGTACATTAAAATTTTTAAACCAATGTGCACTATTTTTCATTGTTTTGCAAGTGTATGTGGAAGGTACCTTGGCTGCCTGCCAGGTGTCCCCCTGGCCATTCTTACTCCTGCTCCTCCACAGGACAAGGGGAGTAAATAGAATGACAGAGCTTGTGGGTCTGGATAAACACAAGGAGCTTTCTTACCAGTTACTCTTGCAGGCAAACAGACTCAACTTGGAGAAAATTTATGTAGTTAAGTAAGTAGAATTATGACACATAACATTTTAAAGATCATTGCAGAATCCAATATGTTTTGAAAAATGTACACTCAGAATGTTATTCCTGATATTACCTGGTGTTTGTCATCTTTTTGGATGTCACACACTTTTATTGGGACAACAGATGAAAGACTCCATGTTTACAGTTTTATTTTCCAAACTGCCATTCTGCTACTTGCTATTCTATTTCTACCTTTGCCATTACTGTCCCACTCAGACACACCTCTCCTCCTCTGAGTTAGTTGTTATTTAGTCTTCTATTATCGCTCTAAGCATTAGAATATTTTCTGTTTGCTCGCTGGGAAAATGTGGCCATGTTTGATTCCTTTGAGTTCTCAGGTCATTTTGCATTGTAGTTGGAGCCAGAGTGAGTGTACTCATTCAGTGTAGGGATCATAGATTGGTTTGAGTTGGAAGGCACCTTAAAGCTCATCTAGTTCCAACCCTGCTGCCATGATCTCGGACACATTCCACTAGACCAGGCTGCTCAGACCCCCATCCAGCTTGGCTTAGAGCACTTCCAGACATCCACAGCTTCTTGGAGCTACCTGTTCCAGTGCCTCATCACCCTCATAGTGAAGAGCTGCTTCCTCATAGCTCATCTAAACCCACCCTCTTTCAGTCTGTATTTTCACTGCATAGAACAGAGCAACACTGTCAAAAAGCTAATTCAGTATTTGCTGCAAAAAGAGTAGAGCTGAAGAAGGGTTTTTTTTATCATTTAAACCTTTCTTCAGTGAGACTGCAGAAATGAGGGAGCCTTGTTTTTTTTGTTTTCTTGAGCAAAACATTAATGCATCAGACCACTTCAGCAAAGTTTTTTCATCTAAAACACCTCCTCAGTGAAAATAAAACATTGCATTGAAAAAACATTGAAATGCAGATACTCCATCTATAACTGACAAGCTGCAAGCCAAAGAGTTTTCAAAGAATGGGAATTATTTTCCGTGATGCAGCTTCTGTCACCTGGTGACACAAATGCTTAAAAATCATATATAATGGAAGTGTGGAACCATCAGTATAAATGATGTGACAGATTTGTTTGGGGTTAAGAGATAAAACAATCTCTTCTTCTTGTTTACTTTGTGAAGTTGAGCAATTTGCTGAGTCTGGATCTTGCCTAGAAAAATGTTAGATGGTTTCTGAACAGTGGCTGCTGGTGGCAAGTGCTGAGCCTTTTGCCTTCATATTACTTAAATGTTGCAAAACATTTGAGTACCTGAACTCAATTATTTAGCATTTATAGAACTATACATATCTGTTGGTCATGAACATAAATTCCTTCTGGTGTAGGAAAGCTCAGTAAGTTTTGTGATTGCCAGTTTGTATGGAATTTAGAGCCGTTTGTATCAGTTGAATACTACTGAAGTGACAGTGTACATTGATATTAACGAGCATCACTTCCCACTCATGTTCCACCTAATAAAGTGGGCTGATGGAGTATGGCTTTAAAGCATTAGAATAGTGAATGTGTTTTTCACATTTTTGCTTTTCTGTCTGAGTAAAACTATAAAGTCAACAAGGTACGTACTGCAATAATTTTCCAGAATTTACACTGAAATTTTCTGATTGCTCTGGCATGTGCCACTTGCCTGGAGACTTGCCCAGTTCTCATGTGTTATGTTCTAGTCCTGCAGCTGACTTTGAGACAATGCTTTGTTCTGCTCATGGATGCTTGACATAAGCCTCTTATTCCAGGTACCCAGTGACAAGGAAAGTTCAATGTAGTGAACGGTGCTCTCCAGGACTCTTATCTTGCTCTGGAAGTAGGAGTTCTTCACTACTTTCATAATCTCCAATTGCTGTTAATTTGGTGATTCGGAGTGACTAGGCCTGGGTTCTGCAGAGCACCTAGATTTGCTAGTTTTGGTCAAGTTGCTCTGATTGTTTTGATAAAAATACCTTCTGAAAATATTTTTAAAGCTGTTATCTCTATCCTGTTACATGAATGTGTTTTGCTTATTTATTATAGCTGGATTGTGAATAGCAAATATACCTTCAGCCCTTGAAGGACTGAAGAAAAGTGTTAAACAGTTGTTTGACATCCCAACAGAAACTGGTTGTACTAGGTTTTGGCCTACTATATGCTGATGTTCTGAAATTATTAAAACTTGTTCCATAAAGAGCAAATCAAGCATTTAGGTCTAAACACAGCTTAGTTTTGAAGCACTGCAGATTGTTGATGATTCAATGAAACCTTCATGTACAAACACTTAAGAAAGAGTTAATATAGCAAAATACATGGGCAGATTGCCAGATTATACACATGTGCAAGAAGGAACAATCTCAATAAATGAGTATAATATTCAGCAAGAAAAATCCCACAGGATTTTGAAAAAATCAAATGGCATTCTTCTTGCTGAATATTGTAATTATTTACTGAAATTGTTCCAAATGATGAGAAGGGATTTTTTTATCTATGATGCTCAAAGCACATCAAATATCCTCCAGTTATTGTGAATTTTACTCTATGTATGTCCTCCTATGAAAAAACAGCCCAGAAGAAGCAGTTCTCATGATTTGCTCTTTTCTAAACCAAATTAAAACATGTGTTTTCCCTTCTTGCAGTCTAGCAATAATTAACTACTCATTTTCTCTGTATTGTGTACACTCCTACTGACCTTCATGTTAACATGCAGATGCAGCAGTAAATGAAAAGCTGTATTGGCTTTTTCTGTTTTTCCACACAACCCAAAAAAGTATGTTTGTTAGTGGAAGGAAATTATTCTCCAGCTTCTGAGAAAGTGCTGTGGAATATACACTGTTTCTGTGTGGACAACGTACAGCAGATGAGAGCAAAACACAAAGTTCAGGTCAAAGCTTAGGTTGGACCTGTGATCCGAGGTCTCTTTCTCCATAGTGCAGACTGTGTGGGCCTTGCAAGAAAAATGGTGCAGTGTTTAAGACACTGTCTTGGAAAATAGGACTGTTGTAGTCAATTCCATACTCTACCCCGCTTTTGTCTGGCAGCAGGTAAGTAATTTAGCCTTTGACCTTCAGTTCCATCTGTAAAATAGCCATAAGCAGTGTTCCCCTTATTTGCAATTGAAGGAAAATACAGGAGTGTGGGGTTTTTTGATGCTCTAGAAAACATTTTTTTTCTTGTGTGAGAAGTTTTCTTCAAGGTTAGGAAAAATTGGTCTGAATTTGTGTGAAAATCAGATATTTTGGTTCAGGAATTCATTCAGGTATTCAGGAATTTAAAATGTTTTGAGGAATCTTCCAAAAGAAAATAACAATGAAATTTCCTAGATCTTTATACTGCTGAAATACTGTACAAAAAAGCAGAAAATTGGTCAGCTTTTTTTAGTGGTCCAGGTGCCTCAGCAATTTTTGTGACTCAGCAATTTTCAATATTTCAAGTTGCTATTTCCCTTATTTTCTGTAAAACTGGGTCCTCCCTTCTGACCTTGGCATGCCAAAAAAGCAACTGAAAGCCTTCTAAGAGTTACAGGTACTGAGGAGAGGAGGTTGGGGCACAGTGAAAGGAGGTGAGAAAGAACTTCAGATACTGCTGGGAAGTGTTTCTCCTGTAGCCCTGGAGGAACACTTGGAAGTGGAGTGGTGGATGTGAGGAGGAGACAGCATTCAGTTGAATGGGAGCATGAGGAACGCAGGACATAAATCCATTGGCATACAGCCTTTGTAGGCAAGCAGATTTGGCAGAGCAAATTGGGTTACCTCTTGACCTCTTTTTTGTTTCCTCCCCAGCAGGTTGGAAGTAAACCTTTCTAAAGAAAGTTCCTAGGCAAGACAAGGTTAACATGAGAAGAGAGTATCTGAGGAGGAATTATATAGCTCTCCTTTGCTCTAGCCTACCTTAAGAGGCCAAACATCACAGAATCGTTTGTGCTATAAAGGACCTCCTGCTAAAAAGTGTCTGTCAGGCTCCAGGTCACAGGGGAAGGTGCCTCCTATCAGCTTCTTTCCGTAATTCAGAAGGGTAAGTATCAGCAATGCCAGTCAAGGTAGGGGAGGAAGGTGTTCCCTTTGCTTCAGAAATTCCTGTAAGAAGACTTCTCAGTGCCCCACAGGTGGATGGCTCAGGCACAGTCTAGGAATGTATTCTTCCACTCTGGATGAAGAGAAACCACTATGGATGTTAACCCGAAGTATTTGCTCCCTTATCTATTCTATATGAATTTTCAGGTGCCGGTGGTTGTGGCAGGCCAGCTCTAGATCCATAACTCCTCACATATACAGGTATGAGGAAGGTTCATACAAGAGCTGTAACTTGTAACATTTATGGCTGAACAGTACCATTAGGAGTCCTCTGAAGCCTGGAAAGCAGCTTAGAATCTTCACTGTCTGCTTCTGTCTTCCTCTGATTCTTACAGTTATCCTGTGAGTGGCTGATGTGGGCTTGCTGGATGTTCCATATAACAAAGAATTTTTTACCCAAAATCCCACGTCCCACCTAAGAACCTTTGGGAGACATTTCTACTCCTCGCATTTTCTGTATGTTTTTAATAAGGGTTGTGTGATTTTGTGACCTCTGCTGCCTGCCTGCCTACCTGTCTCTGCTTCTGGATCAAAGCAACAATGCCAGCATCACCACTAAATGAAGGAGCCTGCAAGGAACTGTGAGGATCTGAGGGACACGTTCCCATACATGAAGTCTGGCAATCCTAGCCATATGTCTCAGAGTTCCTCCTGGTTGCTTCCAGTTAACAAGCTTTTGGTGCAGTGCAAAAACTTGTTATTCTTTATTGCACTTAGCAGTTAAATTTTGACCCATAGCTACCATTCCAGCTATTTTTTTGCTCTGACATTGCCTCTCAAGTTGTTTAATCAGAAAATTTCATTAGTGTACTTTGACTTTTGTGCCAAAAAATTACGTTTAATTTGTCTTGGGAAAGTGTTTTGAGGAATGCCACCAGTAAAATCCATCCAGCCCAATGACTTCCCATTTGTCATTTCCGCTTTTAGCTACTTTCATTCTTGGCATACAGTTCTTGCAGCTACTAATTGTTTCCCATGTGACATCATTCCAAGTGCTTTGCTAAAGTCCAGAGGGAATATATCCCCCGGATTTTTGTCAGGTTGACAAGCTGGTTTACCTGATTAGGTAGTACAATTAATACTCTGACATGTTCTACTTTGGGACTTTTCACTGTCCCCACTTTTCTTTATATCACAGTTTGCTATGATTCTTGTGTGCTTTTCTGGAAAAAAGAACAGGTAGACAGATGTTTTCCAAAGAAGTACCTGAACATTCTCATACTCCATCTGTCTGGATGCATCATGATGCACATAAAATTAACCATTCTGTTAGAAGTACCTAAACATCAGAGAATGACCTGCCTCCCCAGTCCAGGTGGGAAGGAGAGATGTTTGCTGCAATCAGTTTATTTAAAAAGCTCAGAAGTTAATAATCATCCTGTCTTTTGTCACTGATTAGTGACTTATAAGAACCAGGCTTGGCTAATAGAAAATTGCCATAAATAGTATAAGAACACAAGGATGGATTTATTTAGACAGAAGAATATCACTCATCAGACTTGGAGAAGAGGAAAGGCAGCAAGCAAGTCCAATTGACAAAATGTGGTGAAGTGAATGGTCACATCTGCATTCATTAGCAAAATTGGGTGGTGCAAAGGTGTTGTCACCCAGTTCTGGTTTCCACAGGTCATTGGGGGCCTGTCTCTTAGAAAGGCTCCTGACAAGGCAGGCATGACAACCAGATAATGAATGCTTTGAAGAACATAAGAAGTTTCACTTTGCTTCAATCCTTTGGGATCACAGAAGAGATACAGATAAAGGTAAAAATAAAATTTTTCAATTGTGCCACCAGTTTTAGATGAATTACACTGATGGCACTTTGTGATTCATTCATGAAGTGTGACATCCTTTGGGAAGTACTTGGATTATGATCTGTATGCCCTGTTGGATCGTAGAAACTCTAAGGATATCTTTATCCCATTTCATGCCCTATTTACCATCAGTCACTCTGCCCATCCTTTTTCAGGAATCTTCCTGTGATGGCATGGTCTAGCTAAAGTTCTGATTGTCTCTATGTCTCAGAAGAGCAAATGATGTTTTGTTGCTATTATTTTCTGTCTTCTAAGATAATATGTTGGCATGCAACTCTCTGTTGAAACTACCATGAATCCTCACAACCAGGTTCTAATTCTAGCCCTGAATCTATGGAAAATTTCTCATCCTCTAGATGATTTTTTCTACCTGTGTTTGCAGGCAGACAGTTCCAGTACCAGAAGTGTCCTTGTTAAGTGTTCTGCTGGTAGTACAGAAATGCATAACCACAAAACCAGTTTCATTCCAAAGAGCCATTCCTTGCTTAGGAACATGGCTCTTAGGGCAGATGTCTTCAACAGAGGTATGGAGGCTTCAACCACTTAATTCTTTCCAGATTCAGGAATTTTTTCTCCTCTGCAGTTTTTGAGATAAATCAAGGAAAAAATTGTAGTTCCAACTTACATTATGGAAATCTTCTTCACTCTGTCCTGAAATAATTCCCAAGCAGGCCTGTCAGATCTCAGCTATCTGAAAATAACTTCTGACATTTTCAAGATTGTGTTCTGGGTAAATAGCCTCATTTGTGTATGAAATGCTTATGAAATTGTACCTCTACTGTATACCAGAGATATGATATTATTTATGTCTGCTTTGCTAATTTTACCTGGACATAGGAGTCATACCCTCTGTTCTCTTAGTGTTAGTTAATGTGTTGACTATCCTGTTACCATTAAATTTCTCTTCCTGGCACATAGCAGGGGACAGCCCTTAAAATCATCTGCATATTCCAAGTGTGTATTCTTTATGGACAACTTCTTATTAATATTGCTGTGTTGAATGCTAGCTGTTACGTTGAAAGTCTTCCTCATCACACTAATGGCTTTACCGTCTTCTATCATTGTAGTAAACATGACAGTGATACTTCATATACAATAAGGAATAGATACACTTATATTTGCAGGTTCTGGATATCAGGGGAAATACTATTTTTAGTACAATATTGCTGTATATTTTCTGTTGTAGAAAGTGACAGGGAGTTTCTGAAGAGGAATTATGCACAGGAAAGGATATCCTTGCCTCAAACAAAGTGAAAGCATAATCCCAGAAGTCTTCTCTGAGTGTTAGACATCTGTCCAGTGTTTTTCTACTGTGCATTTAATTGATCGCAAGGGTCATCAATAATCTTTGCCAGGATTACATTAATTCTAATTGAACTCCCAATCCCAAATCTGAGATCTTTCCATTGTTTATTCACAGATGTGCTGTCTTGAAAGCAGTTGTGTCACAAAATCACAGACTATACACTGGAAATGACACTTGGAGAAGGAAAGAATTTAATCCAATTCTCTGCTCAAAGCAGGGCTGACTCTGGAGTTAGATCAAGGTACTAAGGGTTATTTGATGTCTCAGGATTATGTGCTGTCTTGTAGCTAGTTCCTCAAGCTTAGATAAGTCAGTACACAAGATCATTATCTCTGGGAGCACTGGAGAATTGGTACGTACTTATCTGAAGTATAGGTGGAAGTATCATCATATGTGTTGGTGCAAAGCTTGTTAGAATATACCAGGGGCTGTGGTATTGATATCTCTGGACTTGACATGCATGCCCTAGAGAAATAGTATCCTTACAGTGCTTCAAGGATTCACCTTTGTCCCTTTTCTGTGCATTACTTAGATAAAAATAAATGAATCTTAGAATAAGTCTCGATTCTCACTTGAGGGCACCAGCATTGGGATCTGCATGACACTGACTGGATTCATCTGTCTTGCCAGGAGGCTCTATTCAGCCTGCAGTATTTTTAAGGAAGTGGAAGGTCATGGTGAAGTCTCAGTCTTTACCTGAGCAGGGCCTGTTCAATGAATACTCATTGAAAGTGAAGAAAATCTAGAGAACTCTATTTGCTTTTCCCACCACAGATGAAGGAGCGGGCTCCTAGTGAAAGTATGGATGGAACAGGATTTCCAAGAGGTATTTGAAGAGGAGAGATGAGGAGCTACTTCTGGGTGAACTGGTCAACCATACCCCCTTTTGATGCTTCACTGACAGAAGGGCTTTGGCATTGGGAAGGCAGCCATGCAGTGGGGCATGAGTGGTAGTCACATCTCTTTCCACCTCCACCCAGCAAAGCAAGAGCCACAGTCATGTTTGTACAAACTCACCAGCAAAGGAATGGGCTGGTTCCGAGCCCAGTCCAGTCCAGTCCACAACAAGAGAATCAACCCTCCAGTAGACTTCAAACAGTCCACACAATTATTGCTTTTCAGCCCAGTCAGTATTTCTAATTCTCTAAAGAAGGGCTACTAACATTTGGAAAGTCTCTGCACGCAAGGTCTTTCCAAACATTCGATTCTGATTTCCCTTGGTCTGGAAATCATTTTAGATGTGCCAGCTGGGACTGAGCCCCTGGGCTGATTCCAGCACCTGTGCCAATTCCAGCACCTATGCCTTGTTCTATGTCAAAGTGAGCTAGCTGAGCCTGTGGGACACTATAGTGTGCCCTGACGCAGGTGGTGCTTGGAAAGGTGCTGCCGGACTTCTGCAAGGAGCTGGAAAACAACAGTGTCAGAGCTGAGTGGTTTCCAGTCCTTCGGATGTTTATTTCCTGGTGAGTGAGTGACACCTTTAAGAATATTTTTAATGGGGTTTTTTTTTTGTGGTAGTTGCAAGAAGTGATACACCAGTTGATTTGCATGTTTGTTTTGTCTTTAATTTTAGTATGTCTGGTGCTAAAGATATAGTTACCCCTGCACTCCAGAAGAATCCCCAAAACAGGGACTAGTCTGCTGGATAACTGTCTACTCCTAGGTGTCTAGATGTAGAGTGAAACTTCTCATTTAGCGTTTTCTGGACTGCTTATTTTCCAGTGAAACAAATTTTCTTTTGATACGAAATATGTGGTTCACTCTCTAGAGAACCCTATCTTTGTATTCATCTTGTGCTTGATTCTTTTTAATAAGAAAACAAACAAGCAAACAAAAATAAACAAAACCCCCAAAACAAAGCAGTAATCTAAGTTCACAGCTGAAGAATGTAGACTTTCTTCCCAGGAAAAAATTGAAGACAAATTGTGTTTTAGTTCTGTTATGTAACCAAGAAAATTCTTTCAGAGAACAGTGCTACACTTTCTCCTTAAAAGGTACTGTGTAATTAATTATGCTGTTATTCACAATGAGGAACAATGATGTTTCATTCACCTTGTTTTACAAAAAGGAAAAAAAGGGGTCATCAATCTGTCAAGTACAATGCAAATAAGAATTGAGAATTGTTTCTGAACACTGCAAATGGGGCAGAGATAGGAAGTTGTGGGATAAGGATTGTCTCATGTACATTGATGGCAACAGTGAAAGAAGGAATACAAGGTTTATTTGCAGTCTTCGTTGTAGCTTTCAATTAGAGCCTGGTTTATATTCAAAGCTATTGCCAAACATTTGCTTTTGCCAGTTTCAGGATTATTTATCAGCTTGGATTGACAAAATAAGCTTTGGGCCCATGATGTAAGTCAGATGTCTAAATCTGGTTTTGCATAGGGAACAGAGTGGGTTTTCCCAGCCTAATAAGCCAGAACTTGGTCTGTCAAAGGTGTCTGCCATGAGGGACTAGAGAATTAGTGAAGTCTGACTCTTGTCTGTGGAGGCTGTTTTTGAGAGCAGTACTACTCTGTGGCCATTAAAAATGGGCTGGCATCCTTTCTGTGTCTTTCTTCAGCAGGGTTGCCTCTTTCACAGCTGTCTGCTATGGCCCCTTTTCTAGCAGCTTCCACATGACCAGCTGCTCTCAGGGGGTCCTCCCAGTCCAAGAGGCTTGAAGCTCAGGGAGCAGAATGTTGTGCGTCGTCTCAGGAGAGATGAATCCTGAGCTATTGGGTGTTGTATTTCTCTGGGTGGGTCTTCATGTACAGAGACTTGTGCATGAATTCACAAGCCCAGGCAGAGCTGGCACCTGTTTTCTCAGAATGACCTTTATTCTACTACTCAGTGTTTTATAGGCTGAAGAATTGAAGTACTCTTAAGTGGTGCTACTTGTCCCATGCAGATGAGGAATTATTGAGGAAGTCAATATTGAGGAAGTCAGGTGAGCTTAGATACAGGACTCCCAAAACACCTGCTCTTGAGGAAACCAACTTGCACTGCAAGCAGTTGTCGACACTGCCTGTAGTCCTCATTTCTGTGCACTGTCCCAAGTGACACCTTAGCTGTCAGCTGTTTTCTTCCCCTGATGTCTAGTGCAAGCATGCCAAGTGGTTGCATGCCTGCAAGGAACCTCTCAGCAAGCTCGTGATGCTCAGAGAACCCAAAGAAGTAGCCCTCAAGACCTGTCTTCAGTGGGTTTTCCTTGGAGATACTTCTGGACACTGACAGTATTTCTTTTTCCTCAATCCCTAGATAACGAGTGTTAGATGTTAACGTGCTTCAGCTGAAAAATCTCTTGGTCCTTTTTGTGACCTGTAGGGATGTCATCTAGAAATGCTGGATCCCAGCTTACACTGTGATTGTGTGCAGTGGCTGTACAAGCATTTGCACCAAGGCACTGTTTTTGTTTTTTTGTTTTTGGTTTTGTGGGTTTTTTTTGCGTTGTAGGGCTTGGACTTGAGTGATTTCTGAAACATTTGACCATCCCCTTAAGGCAAAACTCATCCTGAAATATACTTCTGGGAGGAGACTAAGTAGACCTCTTGTGATGATCCTCAGAGCAGTGCATGTACTTTATGAAATTTCATGTTTTCATTTCATTTCAATTTCATTTCAACCCATCACTTGGTTTACCAGCAGGTCTAGATCTACTGCAAATGATTTCTTTCCCTGTCTGCTATAGAAGTGATATATTTAAATGTAATCATAATTGCTTCTCAGATTTATCCTGAGTTGAATGAGGCTCAGTGGAGCTGCAATGCTGTTCCCTCTCCTCCTTTACAGTCTATTGCCTGCTGTGGCCAGTTTATTCTTACAGTTTCCTGGGTAACTAGAGTCACAGCTCCTCAAAACAGAGGGTTTTGCCTATACTTCCTGAAGACAATGTTGAGCTCTGCTTGCTGAAAAAGGTGGTTCATCCTTCTCTGTTGTGGTGTGACACTAATGCCTCTGAACTTTCATGCCTAGCCTAGAAATATGTGCTGATAGTCCTGTTTCTGCTTAGAATCTATTAAACCCAGAAGTCCTTTGAGGGGGAAGCTTGTGTGCCTTGCAGGAAATACAGTTGCATACTGAGTATCTGCCTAAGCAGACTGTCAGAGGCTTGCTGGGGTCATATGGAGACAGGATGGCTGTGTGTAAGATGTCATGGTGAGTCAGCTTGCAGGTGTATCAGTAATGCCAGTCAAGGTGGGAAGCTTGCTGCCAGGGTATTTGATGCTCTTTCCCTTGGCTGCAGCTCTTTTCTAGGCACATCTAATTGAATTTGCAGCCAGCATGGGAGGTCATGGAACAGAGGGATGTTACATTACCAGTGCAAGCACTGCCCTTGAAGAGCATGATGAGAGTGAGGCATGTGCTAAAAGAGAGAAATCCAGCAAGTCTTCCTTCTAGCGTAGTGTAAAAGGTCTCATCGAGTCAACTCAAACTTTGTTTTCCCTTTAGACATCAGCCTGTTCCTCAGAGGAATAGACCCACTTCAGAAGGATGGATTCACTGCATGCGGAGAAGAAAAACAGAAGGTCAACAGGCCTTTAGGGAACCTAACTTGCTATGTAACTATTTATTAAACAAATATGTATTTTAAAAATCCATAAGGTGGCATGGTAACCTTGTGATGACCTTACTGAGCTGCAGTATATATGGCTGCTTTGTGACAAGGGTTCTGCAGGCTGCTATCTTATAGCATTAATTTACCTTGACCCACTTCAGAACAAAAGAAGGCATATTTATTTAATTTTTCAAGGTTAACAAACTAGTGTTACTGAATAGGCTAAAGAATAGTATTTCCTTTGAAAATAATACATTTTTCTCTTTGTTATTTCTATTTCTCCCATGCTAAATAATTGACCTCAGGCTCCAGTTTGGTAGAGCACTTACATGTTTAGTAGCACTTATGCATGTGTTTAAATTTAGAATTGATAACCTGAGAATTGACTGAATTGTTGCCCCGGTGATGATGCTTTTAATTGCAATGTAAATCCAGTCTCCCCAGTGGCCAGTAGATGGGGCAAGTAGGCCTCTATAATTATGGTCAATTTTTTTGTTTGTTTTTGAATGAAAGGTTAAAATGTAGCTGTTGTTGGCTCTTAGTTCAGCAGTCTAGTTTGAAGGCTCTTTTACCTTTGTACTGTAAGGGTAAATTACGAACTTTGACGTAACTGCACTATTTTCTTTACAAACATGTGTCGTAAACAATCGTTCTGTTCCTTGAATTTCTGAGATTTAAAATTATGTTCCTTTCTTTACACAGGGATGAAAACAAATCTTTTGAAGGTTTTGTTGTGCAAAGATATGGAAATGTGTGTTCCCTCCCCAAAAGTAGCCAATAGTTAGGTGTTTACAACACTCACGAGATGCAAGGGGTCCAAGTTTTAGTCCCTGGTAGTCTTCCATGTGCCTGTAGAGTGTACCAATGACAAGATCACCTTATTTGCCATTGGGTAATCAATTCTCTCCTGAAAAAGTTGTTGTCACTTTTACACATTTATTGATGCACCAGACTTGTACAGACTACATGAGTGGCCATGGTTGCTGGCTACATTTGCTCTCTGTCCACACTCCTTGTTTCCTGTTAACACTTCATGTTATGTACTTATCTAAAGAGAAGGTGATCCTCAAGTCACTGAATACTGACTGTTAAGAGGAGTCTAGTCAGTCACTGAATACTGCCTGTTAAAAGGAATGAGATTTTTCTTGAACACATAGGTACACATAGGAATAGAGAGTCCTCAGTTCCCCTTTAGCCACAATCACACGTCTGTTTGTTGTTCGTGACATCAGCTCCTTAAGCGTGCTCTGCTTTGTCCCCACTTCTTGGAGCTCAGCTTGGTTGTGTGAGTCCTGGAGCAGCCTGTGTTCTTAGTGTGGTGCAGGTGCAAGAACTGTTTTCTGCATTACACTGAGGCAAGCAACTCCTGAGGTGCAGAGCCCGGGGATGATGGGGAGCTTCTGCTTATCACAAAGACCAGATATGGTTTGCCTAGTTGAGTGTATCTTGCCCTTGTGAAAGCACCTCTTACTGTTCAGCCTTGAATAAAAGGTAGTGATATTTCTATTCTGTTTTATTTTAGAGTGGGGCAAGCTTCCTGAGATAGTTTGGCGGAGGGGTGGGGAAACCTGTATCTATACTAAACTGGCCAGGCAAATACAGCATGTTAAAATAAAACAGATTGTCTAAAGACTAAAAAAACAAAGAATCGTCAACCCGCAGCTCTTTCTCCTCAAACTTTCAAAAGCTGAAATGGGGGAATAGATTTGAGCCTACCTTCTCAGATGTACAGGGAGACCCTCAGCTGCTGGGCTTTAGTTTAGCACAGGGGTCTGTATGTGCCACCATCTGTCATTAACTGTATGTGATATCCAAAACTTCTCTGAGTGGAACGGAGCACAGAGGAATTCCTGGCTGGATTGGCATGACTTCCTGCTCTTTCTTGAAGCTGTTACATGGTTAAATCTAAGATGGGTAATAGTGAGT